TGGCGGGTATAGGGCCAGGGAGGGGTGCCTGGGGCAGCGTGGGGGGATATATGTATAGGGGGTATGTATAGGACTGGGGTGTGTGCCTGAGGAAGTGTGGGGGATATATGTGTAGGGGGTATAGGGCTGGGGTGTGTGCCTGGGGAAGTATGGGGTATATATGTATAGGGCTGGGGTGTGTGCATCGGGCTGTATGGGGGATATACTTATAGGGGGTATAGGGCTGGGGTGTGTGCCTGGGGCTGTATGGGCTATATACGTATAGGGCTGGGGTGTGTGCCTGGGGCTGTATGGGGTATATATGTATAGGGGGTGTGTGCACGGTGGACTGGGGTATATGCATAGGGGCCACTATGGGGTACATGCCTCATGGGTGTAGGGCTGGGGGGGGTGTGGGGCAGCGTAGGGCTGGGGCATAGGCACAGAGGAGCAATATAGGGGTAGAGCGCGTGCGTTTGGCTGTAAGGGTATAGGCGTAGAGGCATGGTGTAGGATAGGGGGGCTGTATAGGGTGGGGTATAGCACATACTGGGGGATACGGGGGTGTGGGCAGAAGTTTTCCGCCTGCCCGGTTAATCCCACCGGCTCGGGCGGCCCCGAATCCCTGTGCACGGAGTTATTCCCACGTGTAAGGCTCTGCTCTGCTAATTCCGGCTTAAGACACTGACGCGAATCCTGGTTTGTTGTGCTCTCCGATCACTACCCCAGGTCCTCTGCATTGTTTCATTGTTTCGTTGTTAACTGCTCCCTCTAATTCCCCATCCCTCCTGCACTGACTCTCTCCTAATTTTCTGATTTTTCCTCTATTTTCTTCATTAGTTACTATATTTGTAGAAGCTTCCCCCCCCGACCCGTTGTCATTTAGCAGTGTTGGCTCTCCTTGATGATAAATGCCTTACAGATGGGGGAGGCTTTTCCTTGAAGCATGAGGAGAAGCTTGAAAGGCTCAAAACCTGTGGAGAAATTAAACTGGAGTATCCTTATCTTTTCTTTGATGAACCTGCTAGTTAAATTGCTTCCATCACGTATTACTGGAGGTAGGCTTGCAAAGAAACTGCTGGTCACCATGTGCGCTTTTAATTTAGCATCACCATTCCCAAATAATCCCTTCATCTGCTAATAGATCTGCTTATTCCTTTTCCTCTCCCTCCTCCGGCCGCAGCACAGGGCTGGGGAGGAGGAGCCATCCCCCCCTCCAGCTCTCCCCAGCTGACGTGCTGGCAGATTTCCCCGCCGACGCTGAGTTCCCAAGGATGACCAGATGCTCTGAGATGACTCCGGTTTACTTCATCCCCATAGAGAGATGCTCCTAAATGTGCTTCTTTCCCTTTTTTTAGCTCATTTGGGCTGAAAACAAGAGGCTGAACAAGGCAATGGATGCGGTGGAGAAAAGGGGACCGTACATCATGAGCAAGCCTCCCTCCATTCATGCCAAGCTCCGTAAGTGATGCTCAGTGTCACCCCAGCAACTCCGCTGGGATTTGGGGAGTCATTTGCACCTCTTGCCCAGGGTGGGAGTAACCAAAAGTCCTTTTATTCCTTGGTGGGATAAAACCATAAAAAAACCCCAGCATTAAAAAAAAACCCATAAAAACCCATAGGCGCTGCCTATGGAAAGCACTGCAATGCCCCCATGCTCTCCTTAGGACTGAACCTGCAATGCCTCCCCCGCAAAAAAAAGACTCTTAGGGAGCGCTTGGGTATTTTTAGTTCTGCCCCTGTGCTTGGCTTTCAGAGAGGCAACGCGAGCTGGCAAAAGCAGCGCTGCGAAGGCAGGGGCTGCTGGGAGGACCCACGCCACACCAGCCGAAGGCGGCACCTAAAAGGTCTGATCCCATTTTTCTTCTCCCGAGATATATTTTCACATTTCTTGGGGAGATAGGGGAACTCGGAGGATTAAAAAATTAGTTTGGGACCTTAGCCTGCTGGCTCCGTCGTGGCCAGCAAGCATCCGATATAATAAAACTTTTCCTGCAGAACTTGGGAGTTGCTCTAGCAGGGGCCATGCTCCTCCTTCTCTTTGTTTTGGGGATGGTTTGGTGTTAAGGATTTAATCGGGGAGCCTAGAGCTTAGATGGAGTTTATTCTTAGCTGGTGGTAGCCCTGGACAATGCCTGGGTGGGAAGGGACATTCAGGACCGGGATTCCTGCCCTGGCTCCTCAGTCCGTCAGCTCTGTGGCTGCATTTCCACACCCAAAACGTCTGTTACAGGCTCGCTCCTCTGCTTTCCTGCAGATCGGTGAAGTTTAACAAGGGCTACACGGCGCTCAGCCAAACGGCAGATGAAAACCTGGTCTCCCTCGATTCGGACAGGTGGGGACTGGGTGAATATCCCAGGATTTTTGGGGGGGGGGCGTGTTGCAGGCTCAGAGCTGGCTTTTTGGGGGGATTGATTTTCCTTGTCACTTGTAGAGCATCCCTGATGGCACTGGACACCTCTCAGGAGCAAAATACCCCTGTGGTCCCAGATTTAACAAATCCCTTGGGGTTATGTTGCCAGCTCTCTTTTTCTCCCCGAGATTCCCTTGTCTGCATCCCAAGCAAAGATACCACTTTCTGGCTGGCTCTGACTGTTTCCTTCTTCTCTTAGTGACGGGGAGCTGGGATCCAGATGTTCCTCAGGCTACTCCTCTGCTGAGGCAAGTCCAGGGCTTTGACCCTTACGGCACGGTCCCCATGGGTTCCCTCGTCCCCATTACACCTCGGGGTCTGTATAGGGGCTGAAATGAAGCATCACCCTATGGGGTGTGTACGTGTGTCCATCTCGCAGAGCTCTGCTTTGCAACCTGCTGCCTCTGCTGCCCAATAGGTTTAAGCCATACATAAATGTCCCTTTTGCAAGCCCCAGCTGGTTATAACTGCTTCGCCCTTTGCACCTAAAGCATCATCTACCCCCAGACCCTGCAGCACGGCAGCTGAAGCGCTCCATCATACAAGGGTGTCACAGCCCGTGGGGTGTTTTGGGGTGCATGGGGCATGCATTGGGGTGCTGCAACCCAGGAAAAGCTCTTTGGTCTCTTGCTTTTGTCTTCTCTGCTCTGGTTGTGCTGCTTCTCCCCACGCAAAGGCACTGGAGGGAGGATGCGATGCCCTTCTTGCTCACAACCCTACTCTTTGCAAGCCCTAGGACCTAAATTTTAACTAAACTAGGAGTAACCAGCTCTTCTAACCTCCTTTGTTCCCCCCGCAGCAGGTGAACCAGGACCTGAGCCGGCAGCTGCTGCAAGATGGGTACCACCTTGATGAGGTCCCCGATGACGAAGATCTGGATCTCATCCCCCCAAAACCCATCGCCTCCTCTTCTTGCCCCTGTTGTTTCGGAGAAAATCTCTCCTGCGTGATCCAGTAGACGCCGCTCGGCCGGGGCCGTGCAAGAACAGGTCAAAAGCCAGCACTTTCTTTGTCCCGTGGGATGGCTGTCGGTGTCCGTGTCCCACACCAGGACAACAACACGAGGACTGAATGATGTTGCAATGCCGCTCGTGGTGAGCAGCAGCAACCAACCAACCCCAGAGGACTTTTCCTTACACTCAACAATATCAGGGAAAGGTGGCATGGTGACGTTCAGGTGGCCTGGATGGGACCTGTTGCCTGGCTGGGGTGGGGAGGGAGGAGAAGCAGGAGCCTAGGCACCTCCATGGGGGTGTAAAGGGAAGGAATTGGGAGGTGCAGCAGCAAACGCTCTTCTGTTTGCCTGACCTCCTCTTTTCCTCCTTTAATTGGCCACATGGAGGATTAGGACCTGGCCCCGGACATGGGTTACCCTTCCCAGCCCTCCCTAATGAAGACGTGGTTGATGGTGGGGTCAAACTGCCGTGGTGTGGGACCAGGCTGGGAAGCCCTGAGACACCTTTTCTATTTATTTTCATTTTAGTCACCCCTCCTCCCTGGCAGGCTGAGGCCAGGCCAGCAAGGCTGGGGTCAGCACAGGCTGGCAGAGAGCTGTTTCATTTACCTATCTCATGCTGCTTGCAATTAATTGCTGCTGGCTTCCCTCCTCCCAAAGCCTGGGCTGACCTGAACCAAAGACCGCAGCTTCAACAGAGAAGATGGGTGGAACCCAGTGGAGCAGATTGGGGCAGGCTGCTGAGCATTAAGCATCTGCGTTTCTTACATCCACCAGCAGCTACTGCTCAGGCTGGGACCTCTCCGCTTTCCACCTTTTGAGGGACCCATTAAGTTCTGGGTTTGAAGCTAATGGCTTCTTCCAGTTCTCCCCAAAGCTGCTCTGATGCAGGCGAGGGGCAGCCCAGACCCCCTGTGCCAGCTCTGCACGGCTCCTTTTGGGTGCAGATTTGGGGTGGCTGGGGAGTCTACCTGCTGTGAACCTTAAAAGCTGCCTTAAATCATGGTCCTGCTCTACTACATAGAGGACAATCAGCTGCTTATAAAGAAACCTTATTTAAATGTTTCATGTCTAGAGATGTGAGCTGGTTTTTTTTTTTTATCATTTTACTTGTTAAAGGGAGCACTCAATAAACTGGATCTCATTACTCAGAGGGTGTGTTGGTGCTGTGGCAGGGGGCTGAGCCACACTCCCCCCAGCAGCACTGCTTGGGAGGGCTCCTTCCCTGACCCTGGTGCATTTTTGGAGTGATCTGGTTTCCCTCGTAATATTTTATCCCGGTGTCCTGTTTCCCTGCGGAGCTGCCGTGTCACCCAGACTGATGCTGCTGTTGGGGCAATGCGGTGAAGGTTGCAGCCAGCACCGGGGGGTGGGGAATGCCAGAGCTGCCCCCAGCCTCCTCCAGTCCCCGAGCCCCGCAAACACCAGTGCTTCTCCCCGTCCTCCTCCTGCTCCCTACACCATGCTGTCCTGCGCCAAGGACAAAGTCACCACTTTATTCACAGCACCGAAGGCTCTCCAGCTCCGTCACCCTGCCAAGTAGCCCCCTTTTACAGCTGGGGAAGGGGTGACATGGCTCAGAGGACTGCCTGCCATCGGCCAGGCTTGGGAAGAGCCCACCAGGCACCCAGGAGCAGCAGAAAGCCTCAACATCGAATTCGCGGGCAGAAGCAGCAGGTCCTAGAAGCCAGGCAGAGATGCTTGAGACCCGGAGTGCAGAGCTCAGGCCCCCCTGCTGCTTCTCGGTGAGACGGAAGGGGGGGAAAAAACTAATAAAAGGAGTTGCCATATGGCATTAGGAGCACACGGAGGGGATGATGCTACAGGGACACGGCTAACGAGCTGTGAGGGGAGATGCTCTTCCTCTGCCCGCTGTGCTCCACACCACATCCAAGGAGTCGATTCGTGGAATTGCTCTTTCTACGCATCAGGTGCGGGCTGGTTTGGGGGTTTAATAGATGGAGGGGAAACTTCCAAGCAAGATGACTTTGCCCAGGCCAGTTTCTATCTACTCAAATGTGGAGTGACGTGGGGGGAAGCATCCCAGGTCCTGCTCAGAGGAGGCAGCAGGCTCGGAAGAGCAGCATCCCATCCGGCGAGGAGAGGTGGAGGGAGATGCTCTCGTTAGCAGAGATGAAGAGCACGGAGCCACGACGCAGAGTCATTTCGGAGGCTGCGGCTGTGGAGGTGCCCACGGCTGTCCCTTGGATCACCAGCAAGATGCTGGCAGAGTCCATGGCAGAGACGAGGTACAGCTTGATGGAGGGGGGGATCTGCAATGGAAAGGGTCACCGTGGCTTGAGTCTGCTGCAGATTTTCTTCTCTTTGGAGAGCTGGAAGGGGGTGATCCCCGTTCCCTGCTGCAGCCTTTGCTGTGCCCAGGCCACCCTGCACCCGCAGCAGCCCAAGCCCAGGGACCTTGGCTTAGCTGAGGACACCCAAGCTGCACCCCCGAGACCTATTCCTGGTTCTCCCTCTGCCCGGAGCTGCTGGAGAAGGTGAGCGAGCTCCAGGCAGGGGAAACAGAGGAGGGAGAGGAGCCTGCAGCACTGCCCGGGGTGACACAAGCATCCGCAGCAGCCCCAAGCATCCCTCCATCCTCGCTGGGGCACTAGCTACAAGGGCGAGCAAACCCGTGCCAAGAAAACCCCAGCCAACACCGAGATGTCCTACCAAGAGCACAGCTGAGACGGGAGACAGCTGGTGTTCCCCACCGTGTCCCCACAGAAGACCCATCGCCGCTCACCTCTATCCTCATGATGGCGAAGTCTGGCACGGGCGGGTCATAGAGGTAGACGCTGGGGTCGAGCTGGCTCTGCGCAGCCGGGAAGATCTTGGAGCTGCTGGGTGCTGGCGTGTAGTTGAGCATCTCGCACAAGGTGAGGACGTCGATGAACTTGGGGGTGAGCCCGGCGCGCACTGTGTTATCTGAGCATGCCATGCACTCCACACAGTCTGCGGGGATGACGCAGCACCGTCAGCCCACCCCAGCCCTCCCGCATGTCCTGGGGCGGGGGGGGATCCAACCTTGTGCAGGAGGCCGTGGCCACCCTGGGGGGACAGTCCTTGTGGGGTCTCGGGTTAGGAAAGCCCACCACCTTGCTCACCTCCGTGCAGGTAGGCGTGGGGCTCGTTGGCTCCCAGGAACATGGCCTCTCCCGGCTCCAGCTTCACCAGGTTGAGGAAATAAATGGTGAAGCAGCCAATGTCCCCCGGGTACTGCGAGTGCAGCCGCAGCAGCAGGTCCCCGTTGCTCCCTGACGTGTCCTTCCCTTCCGCCGCTGTGTGGGTAGAGAGATCAGGCGCGATACTGGGGAGGCGGGTGGGGGGTGCCCCATCCCCTCCCCTAAACACAGCCCCCCCCCCCCCCCCCCCCAAACCCTTCTGGGGGGCCACGGCGGGCAGAGAGGACCCACCTTCCTGGGAGATCCTCTTCACCAGCATGTTTAGCTGGTCGACGAAGAACTTCTTCTCGCTCTTCATCAGGCGGGTGAAGCAGACACGGAGGGCGGCAGAGACTCCACGGGGGTCGTCGCTCCCACTGCGCTCCAGCTGCTCCGCCGCCACCTCCCCGATCAGCGCCCGCAGCTCGGGGACGCCTGCCAGGGTGGCCAGCCCAAGTCATCCCTGGTGGCTGCCACTACAGGGGAGTCCAGCAACCGCCCCCATCCCAAGGTAGCACAGCCACCATCCCCATCCTGAACCCGCTACAGGGAGGGAAGGCGGCACCAGGGGTCCAACCTCGCGACCGCCCTCCCTCGCCATCCTTACTCTGGAGGAAGGAGACGATCTCCTCCACCGGCCGAAAGCCGCACAAGCCCTCGAAGGGGGTGAGAGCGATGGCCATTTCGGGCTTGTGGTTGGCGTCGGGGTAGTGCTCGGGGAACTGGGCGTGCAGCTTCACCGCCAGCTCCTGGAGAGGGGAGCAGAGGAGCTGGGTGACCTCACCAGGGACACGAGGTCTGGCCAGGGCTGTCCCCCTCCCCAGGGCTCTCCCTACCTTGTTGGGGTGCGCCTGGATGGAGAGGGCAGTGTTGACCGACAGCACCTTGAAGAGGAAGGGCAGGCGACCCTGGAAGGCGTCCTTCACCTTCGCCCCCAGGCAGGCGGGATTGTCGGCGATCCACTGGCCCAGGGTCTTTTGGGGGATGCGGTTATCCCGGATGATGGCATCGCCCCGGGGGTGTGCACCCATCCACAGCTGCGGGAGACAGACAGACGGACGGACCCCTGAGACGGGCAGCCAACAGGGATGACTTGGGCTTTTCTCGAGGCCGCTTGGCCCCGGACTCAATCGATGCAGCCAAGGCGGCTCCCTCGGGGGCTGAGTCACGCCGGGCTTCTCCTCTACTCCTCCCTGGGCAGCCCCACAGCCCCCCTGGGGGCTCCAGGGGACCGGAGACGACCAGGGGATCCGCATCCATCCCCGAGCCGGCCAGACCCACGACGGCGAGAGCTGCGGCCAGTTGGGACGGACGCACCGATGGGACGGATGCAGGGCCGGGACGGACATACGGACGTGGGGGCAAGCACTCACCTCCGCGTAAGGCCGGTCGGGCTGGATCTGGACCAGGGGGTCACTGCTGGCCAGCAGCTTGGCCACCTCACTCTCCAGCCCCACCTTCCCCCAGGAGTAGCTCTGCACGGCGCAGGAGAGGGGAAACACTGCGGGAGTGGGAAGCCAGACATTGGGGGGGGGGGGGGAAAATAACATCTTCCCCCCCCCCCAAAACCCACCCAAGCCATCTGGTGGGGGGTGAGAGGGGGCGAGGGCAGGGTGGGGGACCGAGGGGGTGTATTTTTGGGGGAGGAGGGGAGCAAGTTAATCTCTTTCATCATATAAGGGGTGCCTCTGCCCCACCGCCCTGGGGGTCCCCGGTGGTGTGTGTGGGGGGTCTCCATCCCCGTGGGCCTGCCCACCCGAGGCTCCCCCCGCCCCCAGGGAGCTGCCCTGCCCGCCGGGCCCCTCTCACCGCGGATCTCCGCCATGGTTCCACCGGCAACGGGAGGGCACGGGGGACAGGGCAAGCCGGGAACCGTAGTCCCTATAGCGGCCATAGGGGACCCCCCCGCTCTGTGCAGCGCACGGCCCCGCCCATAGGCTTAGCCCCGCCTCCCCCTCCTCCGCGCCCTATAGGCGGTGGCCGCCGCTGTGACGTCTCGCAGCCCCGCCCCGCGGGGGGTCACGGTACCTGCGCGGTGGGTGGGTGGGTCGGGTCACGTGGCTAGCGGCGCAGGCGCCCTGGCTGCCCCGGAAGTGCCTGGAGCGGCGGCGGCGGAGCAGGGAGAGCGGAGCAGCGGGGGCCGCGCTCATGTCGGGCTTCGACACTAACCCGTTCGCCGACCCGGTGGACATCAACCCCTTCCAGGTGAGCGCGGGGACCGGGCGATCCCTTCTTCCCCCCCCCCTCCTTCTCCGCCGCCGCTGACCGAAGCGTCGCTGGCTTAATGGCGCCTGTCCCTCCTCGGGGGGAGCCGGGGTTCAGCGCCAGCAGGCCGCCCCTGCCTCAGGAGGACGCTGAAGCGGTTGCGGGTGCCCGATTTGTAGAGGTGTTAAAAATAATCCGGCGTGGGACCCCTCTTGGCTGTGCTGCCCGGCTGTCGGAGGGACTGCTGGGTCTCTCCGGGGTCTTGTTTTTAACGTGCTGTAGCGTCGGCTCCTAAAACGGAGCCTGGAAGGCAAAACGCATCCTTCGGCTGTCGTTTTCAGGGGCCAAAGCCTTTGAGGTTCCTGGGGACTTAATCCGCTTTCATTAGGTTGATTAATCTCCGTGCCCTTGCTTTCACTGGGTTTCTCCTCTGTGGGTTTCTCCTCCGTGCCCCAAAACGTGGGGTTTCTCCTCTGTGCCCCGAAACGTGGGGTCATTTACAGAGGGAGTTGGCTGGGAATGGCCTCTCGGAGCCGACTGGTGTGGCGGTGGTGTGAAAGCGAGCGTCTGGGCTTTGGCTTTTGTCAGCGAGCAGCTGCGGGCGCTGCCTCACCTTTGCTGTTTGGCTGGGATGTAATCTGCAGGAAGGGGTGATTTCCTGACCTCTGATTTCATGGCCAAGCCAAAGTGGAACTGTTTGTTGATGGGTGCCGAGTGTTTTGAGGAATCAAAGTGAAATCGGAAGGAAAAAAAAAAATCCCTTCTCTCCCTCACTTCTATTTTAACGCGTTCTCATGTGTCTCAGGAACAGGAAGGGTTTGGCTGACTGTGTTCCTGTAATATTCCTTCGGTGGGTGGGAATATAGGGTGGCTCACAGATACAGTAACTGTTCACGTAGGGATTTATCGCTTCAGCACTGAGGAAGTAAATATTCTGCTGCTTTATGCACATTAAGACTGTCCCGGTATCTGACCGAACAGGGCTGTGCTCGCGCTTTACTCACTGTTTAAACAAAAAAGATTGAATGCAATTTACAACAGGTAACTCCAGTGTCAGGCTTACTTTTTAATGAGGACAAACTACGTCACACCGTGGATGCCCCTGCGGTTGTCTGACAGCTCTTCACAGCTACAGCTGGTCTTTGTGGCAGGTTTTATATCCTCCTTTCGGGAGTGTGAGGTTTTGCATTTGCTTTTGTCCCTTGTTTTAAAGAAAAATTCTGCCAGTCATCAGCAGCTGGACTTGAGGAACCTCCGACTGCTGCTGCCTGGAGCTTTGAAGCCCTGTCTCTCCAATTTGAAAATAACATCTCACAATGCAGAACAGTACTGCCCCAGTCTAGTAAATCTGGGGAAATGAGCCCATTCCCTGCTGGGGTTTGGATCCACATGCTGGCTCGGTGCCGTGCGGGGCTGGGGGGACGATTTGCCCACCCGTCAGGCACTGACATCCCCTTCCATGCACTCTGGAGATCTTGCTGAAAGACTAGAATTGTCTTCACCCTCCCAGCCTTGTTGCACTGATAAATATCTCTTGGGCAGAGCACCAGGGTTGTCTTTACTCATTGTGGATCCCAGTACAGCATTTTGCGCAGTGCGAATCCTGACATAACTGGGTATCTTTGCCTTTTAAGGAGACTTTGTTCATGATGTTCAGTAAGCTTGGTATAAAATAAGCTGGTTTGGTCCTAATGAAAATGTCTCTGGCTCTTCTTTCTGTTTCTTATTGTAACAGGTTAATGAGAGATGATTAACTGCCTTCGTTTATTCAGTAACCTGCTGTAACTGGCAGCTACCTCTGAAACTTTGATGCAAGTTTCAGACAGGGCTGAAAACTTCCATCCTCTTTAGAGATACCAATAATAAAATCCTTGAGATTTCTCTCAATGCATCTTCCAGGCAGTCGCAGTGCTCTGAGGTCCTGCGCTGGTGGCTGGCTGCGGGACTGGCGATGTTTGGGGCAGTCACTGTGATGTTTAGACAACCATGTTAAGTTCCAGGTGATCCTCTTTTGAGTAGTCTTGCCTTGATCTCATCTAGAGAGGCATCTCGTTTTGTTTTTTTAACCTGTGGGAACAGAAAGAAATGGAAGAATAGAATTTCTTGCACAAACCTGTTGTATCAAAATCTTTTAGCAGCTCTGTCAGCTGGTGCTGTGCGACAGCAACTTCGTCTTTGCATTAGACGCTGCTTTGAAAACAGTTTTGATCTTCATGTCAGTGCAATTTAGTTGAAACACAAAATTACTCTGCGCTGGGGAATTTGAAGTCATGAAAAATGATATCACACATTGCTGCTGCTTGAGGAAGTGATGGTAGGAAGGGCAACAAATGGGGATCTGCTCGCTGGCATTCTGCAGATCAATATAATGATTTGTGAGCACAAGGTTTGTGGCTGGACGTACTTCTTAAATCAAGTGGAATAGCTGGAGAATTAAGAGAGCCTTCAGGTGCTCAGGCTTTTCCTTAGCTCTGAGGCAGGAAAGAAGTTGCGAAGAATTGCTCGAGTTTAACTGGGGGTTCGAACAACTGAACCCTTTGAAAGGAAAGGTATGTGGGCCCTTTGGAGCAGCGGAGAGCGCCGTTACTTTCCTGGAGGAGGGATAGCTGGGTAGGTGGCTTCAAGTGGTTCAGCGGCTGAATTAAGTCCCTGTTTCCGTGTTTCACAGCGTAAGGGTTCAGGCCTGTGCTTGTTTCAAGAGGGTCAACTGCCTTTTGCTTTGTAGCTTGCAGAAAATAACTGTACAACATGCAGTTTGTGGGCAACTTCTCATCCACCTCCTCTGCATTTCTTGTGCTTACTCATCCTTCATGCTGTGCAGTCCAGGCTTGCGGAAGCTGGTGCCTCTATATCACCCTCTGTTTCACAGCTGCTGTTTTCCTTCCTGCCCTATCCAGGGCATGGAGGCACATGTCCAAACACACTTCAGCTTTGTTGCAAATTCCCTGCTCTTTGTATATCTATTTTAGACACGGTTGCACAACAGCAAGCAAGTTAGGCTGCGCTGCTTTGCTTTGGCCGTACCGCCTAATTAAGTAATTTTTTATTTTTTGAAGCTACGCAATAAGATGAGAGGTCGCCTCCTGTTGAAATCAAACTGTTCTGCAGCTGGACAGTGAAACAGTGGTGCTGCTCTCCCTGCCCTGCACAGGCCACTGGCAGCCTGCCCTTTCAATAGCAGTGCTGTGCTGGTGAGCCTCTGGTTAATTTAGGAGCTTTCTTTTTGAACGGAGGTGAGCAAAGGGAAGAAAAATGTGTGTTTTGCCTTAATATTCTAGTGTTTCTCCTTATTTCCGAGCACTTTCCTCCCAGCCTGACCATTCAAGCTCTTCAGATGGTTGTTACGCAGCCTTTGCTTTCCTCTTCCCCGTGCCTCTAAGGGAGTTTCTCTCCCGTGTGCAGTTGCCTTCTGCTGGACTTTAGTCAGGCTGGCACCTTGCCTGGTCTGGATTGAAGGGTATCGTGCTATCATGCAGTAGCTATCGTGCATGAACTGACTTGTAAGCTTGTGTTGATAGCCCACGCATCTGCAAAACTGCTTAAGCTAAAGGCTCCAGAGGAGTAAGTAGTGAAATAAAACCTGTGCCTTGAGTCCATGCAGCCCTTATTTCCAGTGTGGCAGTTCTGCAGGTGCAGCTCTGCCTGGCCAGGAAGTTGTACTTCATCGAGCAGCATCCAAAACCTCCTTGTCTGAGATCCCTCAGCCCAGGGTGATTCATAAAGTAGTGCAACCTGTTGCATAGGGAGTGCCTGCTATCGAGGAGATGTGTGAAGTTACTCATTAACTGTTCTGTACGCATCTTGCTCAGCAGAAGGCTGCGCTAAAACCCCAGGGAAGGGCTCCAGCGGGTTTCAGACAAGCCAAATGACTTTTCTGGAGCGCATGGACTTGGTCAGCCCCTGCACGCCTCGATTACTCGCTCTTACCTTGTCGTAGCCTCAATTGCTTCTCACCCCATTAACCACAAAATTAGAATGACTGATGTCGAGACATGAGTTGCTAGGGAAGGGAGGGAAGGATAAAAAGCCACTTTTTAAATTTTTTTACCCACATCCAGCTATCGGGTTGCCAGGCTGTTCTCCCAGTAGGATTTCCGAGTTCAAAAAGTACATTGTTTCTCTAATAACTGGGGAGAGAAACACTCCAGAGGTCCAAGTCTGGCTATTAGAGAGGGATCTTTTATGGAAAGTAGTATGTATAAAGAAGAAACAAAAATCGCTAAGTGCATTGCAGGTGAGGGAAGAAAGGTATTTTTGGCAGAGGTACTGAGGGCCTTTTTTTAAACAATCAGACTATTTGATGGAGACAAGTAGGAGATGCTGTGAGTACAGGTGAATGCAGCTGTTATGCCGGCAGAATTAAAACCTTCAAAAGTAATTGGTGTCACACCTCCAGCTCAACTTTCCTGGGTGTTTTGCCTTTTCAGAGCAGTCATTGGCATTTTAGCTTGCTGGTCCAAGTGCCCTGTGTGGCAGCTGACACCTATCAGCCAGGACCAGTTGTACCTGGAAACTGATTTTGTGAGGCTCTGTTGTGCTTTGTGGGTCCTCGCTCACTTTGTGGTGCAAGTGAGGTTTGGGAGGTGGTCCTGGGTGTCCAGCAACATTCTGACCGTGGGTGAATGAATCCATGTCCTGCTTTGAGTCCCTGGAAATTAGGAATAACTCTCTGTAGGTAAGCAGTAGTAATCTGCAG